TGTGCTGGAAAAGACCACAGAAACAAGCCCAACAAGAACTCCACATGGATTCACAAATTCTAACACTGTTATCTATTGCAGTGATTCTGCCCAAATCGCTAACCAGTGATTTTTTTTTTTTTTTTTTTCAGAATTCTAATCAGTGTCTTCTAGGGCTTTCTGTGACTCATCTAGCCCCTAACCACAGCTCAGACTCTTTTTCTGATTCCTGCTTTCAGCTTCCTCAATTTGAAATGGCTCATGCTGCGTTTGCACTGCTTCCTGGTTGGAGGAAGTGACTGTGTCTAACTCTGGCGGTAGGTGTAGGGCTAGAGGTTCCTGCTTGGGGGACTTTTACACCTGAAATCAAGGTCAGGGAGAATATGGTTGAAAATAGGCATTGGACCAGACAAGTGAAGAGCTGTAAGGAGGCAAAGACCTAAGGGCAGGAAATGTGGATTAAAGAAAGTTAAGAAAGCAAGATAAACGAGTGATGGGTTTTCTGGATAGGATGAGTTTCTTACATTTTCAGAAATGTTGTAGGATATGGGCTTGATGAATTACTGAGAAGTGGAAGGCAGAGATTTACACTGTCAGAAGAGTATCCTGATCCTTTTCTTTTCCTTTCTTTCTTTCTCTTTTCTTTCTTTCTCTTTTCTTTCTCTCTTTCTCTCTTTCTTTCTTTCTTTCTTTCTTTCTTTCTTTTCTTTCTTTCTTTCTTTCTTTCTTTCTTTCTTTCTTTCTTTCTTTCTCTTTTTTTTTTTTTTTTTGGTTGGTCATGGGGCCTGAACTCTGGGCTTGGGCGCTGTCCCTCAGCTCTTCAGCTCAAGGCTAGCTCTACCTCTTGAGCTACAGCACCACTTCTAGCCTTTTCTGTTTATGTGGTGCTGAGGAATCAAACCCAGGGCCTTAGGCAGGCGAGGCAAGCACTCTATTACTGAGCCACCTTCCTAGCCCTCCTGACCACTTTCTATCTCCCCGCTTCCTGGTCATGAGAACTAGTTGAAGAAACTGTAAAGTCTGGCTTTAGTTACCCCAGGCAACCTGTCAGTCACCAAGGCCTCCTGGGTAACCTGAAGATACATGTTTGTTACTTACACGGAATCAAGGGTGTCCCTGACTTTTTGCTTAAATTTCCGGTAGACATTGCTACTGACATCCAAAACGAAATTTTGGGTTTATTTTCTTCACTCCCCTGACTAATCATTAACATTCATATTCTTCCTTGGAGGAAACAGAAAGTCCTCCCAGTGGTTTGTACCCCAAATTTTGGATGTATTCATTTTTTTCCCTTGACACTCTATTCCACTGGGAAAATATATCTTATAAATCTATAAACCTATAGATTATATAAATATTATCTATCTCATATCTTAAAAAATTATAAATACATTTGGAATTCGCCACATCTCATTGTTCTGTGCCCATATCCTAATCCATCTACCAGCATCTTTCACTGGATTAGGAGAGCAGCCTAGTTCCTCCTCTTCCCAGAGCTGGAATCTGCCTTTTAAGATACAAACTACTTCCTGTCAGGACTTTCCTGAGACCTCAAGTTCTCTCTGAATAAATGTCAAATCTTTAAAAGAGCACAGAAGTCCCCAGGGTCCAGTTCTGCTCTCCTACCGCTCTTCTTAGGTTTGCAAGCTCGCCAGCTTGGCTCCCAGGTCAGGATGACTTCTTTGTGTTGACTGTTCTTTCTGTCTAGAATGTTCTTCCTACACGTTGGTAAATTCGGTTACTGTTTCCAGATCTTGCACTAGTATTCTTTTCAGTGAGGCCCACTCTGACCAGCACTTCGATCTCAGGCGTGCAAATCTTCCTTGCATTGCTTACGTGTCTTTCTTTCTTTCCACAACACAAAATTGTCCTAACCTAATATGTATTTTTTACTTTTACATTATATCTGTAGTTTATTGTTTGTCTTTCCTCCCCTTTCCACATAAGATGAGCTTCAAATGCACACAGATCTTGGTTTGTTTTGTTGAATGATTTATCTCTACTACCTGGAAAGGTGACTGACATCTTGTCTCCTCAAGAAAGAAGCTCTGAATACATAATTCTCTGCCAGGGCATACTTGTCCTTTTCTTGTTTCCATGCTGTATTCAGAAAATAGGTAAGCCAGGAGTGGAGGTGTAACCCTATAACCTCAGCTACTCAGGAGATGGGAGCAGAGAGATATAAATTTGAGGCAAGATCAGCAAGACCTTGTCTCAAAGGCAAAGTTCAAAAATGTTTTGGGGCATGGATCAAATGGTCCAATGCTCCCCTAGGCAGTAGGAAGCCTTGGAGTTATCATTAAGTTCTGAAAAAAAAGCAGCAAACAAGAAGTTAAAAAAATACTCTGAGATAGTCCAGTGTGACACATACACAAATCTTCCTTCCAATGAGCTTCAGTATAGTAAAAATAAAACATCAAAATAGTAGCTGTTCTTATTATCTCTATGGTATCTCTCTTATTTGTTTATCCTTTGTTTACATTTTGTTATTGCTTCCCCTCAAAGTACAAATCAAGCTGGAATTTGTAAGGACAAAAGTAAGTGATGGGTATGTGCTTCCTTGGGGAGAGCGGGGTATTTGTGTAATTCCAGGGAAGTGGCAGTAGAGTTAGGCATCTGTGAAGCTTTGTTAGCTAGAAGGTATGCTAAGATGCATTCTTAAAGGATCATCTCCATGGGTCACTGCTAAAAATGGCCATTTCTCTCACCTGGAGACACAGATTAAGTTTGACCTCAATGAAATCTGCAATAGAGTTGAATAAAATGCATGTACTCTTATACCACATGTTCAAAAACTCAACCCAATATTAATATTTTAAAATTTCACCAGAGAAACATTTTAGATGTTTAGAAACATTTTCGATACCACCTTTGGTATTTAAGTTGTTGTCCTAGAAATTACTACAAGGAGAAAATGTTTTCCATAAGTGAATTCTGGAGGTTAAGACAAAGGTGATGATGTCCTTACAGAAGCCTAGATTGTTATTTTGAAGGACTGGATAGGCTCCCTAATCTGCCTGTTACAGAAAACTTGACAGTATAGACACCGGGGTTGTCCCATTTGGGGAAACCAATAGGTTGGAAATTGAGCCATACTGGCTCTCCTAAATGCACCATGCTTTTCTCCTCAGCCCAGGGGCCATTGTGTATTCTCTCCACTTCCTCACGCCTCATTTACTCATGGGGGTGGGGGTGGGGCATGAGGGGTGTCCGTTCAATATCCTGCTGTCTCTATTAGAGTAGAGCATTAAAATCTCAATCTCACCTGTGCTTCTTTGGTAACAAACAATTTAAATATAATGGCTAAGGAACGTGATGTCTGAAGAGAAACAGTAATACAAAATTCAGCCTGTTTACAAAGCAGAATAAGGTGACTGGACTTATTAGAAACAGAAATTACTATCTCATTAAACCTGCTGACATGGAAAGAGGACTGGTACTAAAATCTTCCATCTACTGTGTTAACTATTAGGAGGAAACAAATGTGTCTGTGTAGAAAACAGTTGTTAAACTATGAACATAGCATCTAAGATCAGACTTTAAAAAAAAAGAGATCTCCAAAACATTTATCTCAACTTTTCTGATTATGACCATCACTTGCTTAAGGCAGACACAATAGCTCATGCATTCTTAATGGCTCAAAAATTAGGAGTTTTGCTATTCTTTTCAAACATATACTGTTTATACACTGTTTATATTGTTTATAACAATATTCTTGCACATGTATAGAATTACACAGTATGCTTTTTCTTTGTCTTATTATAAACACATTCATGCTTTCAAACATTATATTCTAGAGCCACCATAAACTTTAATGTTCAATTCACAGGAATGGCATTCTACTAAGCTTCAACAGACACAAACTTATTTCGTGACAGGTTAGTTTACACATTGGTAGGGTTAGTGATGTGTCTGTGAATGACAATATAGCTTACATGAAATAAGTTCATTAGAGATGTAAGATTTACACTTTGAAGCAGCTCACACTAAAGAAGCAGTAATGCCATGTTTGAAAAATTGTTTAAAATTGAAATACATTTTCAAAATTAATATAATTATTACTTACAGTGAAATAGTCCTTCCTCAAAAGATTTAAAAATAGCTTAGAAAGTCACCTTAAATTATTAGGTTAACTTCAAGTCATAGTTAAGTGTAGTATGTTTGCCAACAAAGTAGTTCAAATTGCAGTGTTAAACATTGTCTTGAAAGGCAATTTTAAAAGTATGCAAAGGTAGTCCACATGATACTATAATATTGAATATAAAGTGTGTATCTTTCTACTCTTGAGAGTTCAATTGATGTTTTTTTTTTAATGAAAATCTCCTTCCCAGATTTGCAAAAACTAAGTAGGATTATATTTTGTGGTATCTTTACATGTGTATTTTCCAAGCAGGGTCAATTATTCCAAATATTTCATGTCAATGAATCCCCATTTGTACACTGACAATTGCAAAATTTCTTTGTGTTCTAAAAGAGATCTTTGGAAAGTACAATGTGCAGGCTGAGTAATGACAGAGACAGAGAGAAGACATCTTAGGAACATAGAAGGCAAAGGAAAATTAAACTGTCAGACTCAAAGATGTATGGTATCCATAAAGTGGAACATAGAATTAAAACCCCTTTTGTACAACTATTTAAAGATGACAAATAAATAATAAGTATTTATCAGGATTCCGCTATCCTTACACTTACTGTTCCACTATGATTGAGCTGTATAATGTACACATTCTTTGAAGGAGCCTGATCAAGGCTAAGGTGACACTATCTGTTCTTCCACTGTGTGTGTGTGTGTGTGTGTGTGTGTGTGTGTGTGTGTGTGTGTGTGTGTGTGTGTGCATAGTCCTCCCACAGGTGCTGCCACATCTAATATCACAAATGCATCATAATAAACAGCTCTCGATTATCCCATGCTTTGTCTCTTTGATTCTTCCCTTTTCTGTTGGGCATTTCCCTTGTTCTGCAAGACAATCTTGAACAGGAAAAACCCAAACAGCCCGAGGCCCCGCATGCACATGGCTTACCTGTCGATGATGGCACACATATCAATGCTGACATTCGCAAAACTTCCTGGCTTTCTTTGTGCCACCTCATATAAATTCACCAGCTGATCATCTACTTGGATGAGTTGCATGCATCCTTGGAATGAGGGCTGAAGGGTAGAGTGACTTGAGTTACTCATCTGGTTCAGAAAACCTGCGAAACAGAAGAGGCAGGAACATTACAATCAGCACCCACTACACTTTATGGAACGTCTTGTGCATGTCAAATCTTCCCACAGCCATCATGTCCAACTACAGTGTCTTTGAACCTTATGGTAGTCATGTTTGTTGCATAAGACATTTGAGAATGTGACAGGATTTTGAGGGAAAAGTCGGGGTCCACCTGTTTTGAGCTACAAGGCAATTGTCTGTCTCAGATCTTCTGTCATTCGAATTTTCTCTTTTGTATGTTTCCTGCGCTGTCCATCTCCCACTTGATTTCTAAGGATCACAGGTTTTAACTGAGCCTGCCTTCAGAAGTCAAGCATGAAACTTCAGAACTTTATAAACTCCAGCTTCCTTTCTCTTCTTAGTTAGCATATTGCCATTTGGGGGTCATGGCCTCACTTTGCAGCCCAGGTTGGATTTTTGAACTCACGACCCTTATCTTCCTACCTGTCACCTCCTGAAGCTACTTTATATGGCAGCTATATAAGTGTTAACAGATGGAACTACTATAAAAAAAGCAAGAGAATAACAAGACAGAAATTTCACAATAAATATAATTGATTCGATGAGAAAATAGAATATGCATAAACCAAGCTTGAAACCAGACTGTGAGAATTTTATTGCTAAATAATTTTAAAACAGTAATACCAATCAATTTCTATTATGGCTTTTCAATAAAAAAATAAAATTGCAATTGTTCATAATATGTGAGGCATAAGGGAATGATATTACTTGTTCGCATTAAGTACCTCTAGAAGGTCCCCAAAATGTCTGCATGTCATATTGATGTCTGTACCAAATTTTCCTAGTGAGCAATTTTAAATTGTACTCATTAGTCTGTTTATAAATGTAAAGTTATTTATAAACTCACTGCTTTTAACACTTTAGATAAAAAATAATTTATACACAAAACAGATTGGAACCAACATATGCCATTAAGTGAGCAAAAGTGGATTTTCAATAAAAATAGATATAAATCATTAGGGGATTTAAAAATAGGATCCATTCTCTTTGATCGATAGTAATAATTTAGAATATTAAACACTCGCTTTTGTCTTCAGGGCATTGTCATTCAGAGAGTATATACCAAAGTATGTGCAGTAAGTCTGACTTATTCCTGGATTTATTTCATGTAGTTTTGACCAACTTTTGATCAAAATGCAATACAATTTTTAAAAAAGACTAAAAAAAAAAGAATATTTAAATTTGCATACATGCATTACATTCTTTGTTGGTGTGGAGAAATGCCCATTTTCAAATTTATTGTTAGTTGTGTTTAAAACATTGTGTGACCTGCTCTTTATTTTGTAAAAACATGCTTCCTAAGGAGCTATGGTGTCCAGAGTGCAAGGTGCAAGTTGCAGTCCGCTTCCCAAAGGATATCTGAGGGCTTTTAATTAAGGGATCAAGTGAAAATTTTTTAGATATTTTGAAAGACAACATGTTCTGCAGTGGAAGTTGGATGGGGTTGTGGGAAAGATGAGTGAAATATCTGCAGTCTTTGAAGTAAAGAGTGTGGAATAAGATTTAGGACTGGGCGCGCAGTATTTAGGTCTACAATAGTGACTTTGGTGATAGTTCTGCAGCCTGCCCTCTGTGGTTTCAAGTTACAGATGCTGAGACCTACTGTACAGATGGCATAGGTCAAACAGAGTATTGAACTCCATGCACTCTACATACATATCATGTCTCTTCAAATAAATACCTGCAGACAGCAGGAGGTCACTCTATAATTTTCCTTCAGTGCAATAACGAAAAAGTAAAATCACATTTGAATGAGATTCTCACATTAAAAATCTGAGGCTCTATGTCAGTAAAGCAATGAACAGATAACTTGGTACTGGAATATAGTTTGATGTGTATGCATGGGTGTGTGTTATTTTCTAAGCCATGTTTATTTGTTTGCATTGACAGTCCTTTTAGGAAAATGCTGATCTTATATACATGGTCTATTTAGAATAGTTGTATGCGTACATTTGATTTTCCATTGTCTAATCAAGGCAAAATGGAATGAGGTTAATGTCTAAATTTAGCATGGAGAAAACACCCAGCTGTAACTATGGCTTGCTTACATGAAGATTATCTTTGTTTTTTTCTGTGAGGACTTGGGATTCTCTAAATTCCCATTAACTTTGAAAAATTTCAAAATAAGATCTATTTCACAAAAGTAGGAACTCTGAAGCAGAGCAGCTGCGTGAACATGGATGACTGTAGATTGGGTGTAATCAAGTTCACAAAATAAGCCTTCCTATGTCACTCACAACAACAGTCGGTTTGTTCTTGATAGTTTCAAAGTCTGAAATTGTCAGTTGTCTCACTTTCCTTCATGAGATATACTGGAGGGAAAGGTAACATGACAAACTTCTACATATCCATTAGGATTGACACTTTTTTTGGTCTCTTCTTCTACTATCCCTAAGGTTTCTAAGATGGATCCCATTAACTTCTGCCTGTGGGTATTTGTGCCCTTTTGCAGTCTTCTGGCAACTTCAGTCAGGGCTGACTTCTGCAGATGATGTAAAGTTGTGCAAAGTCAGGCACCATGGGCTCACGCCTGTAATCCTAATGAGAGCAATTCAGGAGACAACACCTGGGAGTTCACGGTTCAAAGCTAGCCCGAACAGAAAAGTCTGTGAGAGTCCATCTCCAATCATCCAGAACCGTTCAGTACTAGAGAGGTGGCTTAAGTAATAACACACTAGCCATGAGCAAGGAAGTGGAATAAGAAGGCCCTGAATCCAAGTGTGTCTGCACACACACACACACACACACACACACAAATTTAAGTGGTGACTTCCAAGGCTGGCTACCCTCCTCATCTTTGTGCTGGAAAATCAGCACCATGAACTTGAACAGTATTGGATTAAGGAAAGACCTATGAAAGACAATAAAAGATGAACATGTTTGCAAATCTGTTTGTGGAGGTGCTTTGTTATGCAGCGATAAGTAATGAGTAGGTAAGTGGGTACTGGGAGAAAATCAAACCCCAAACCTCACAAGCACCGATTTGGGGCCCGGAGAGTGTAAATAAGCTGGAGAAGCCTTAAGAAATCTCTTGGCCAGAAGCCTAATGATCCTGAAGAGGTTCATCAGTAACAGCTTAACCTAAGGTAAGAAAAATGTTACCATAAATGGAAAGCATGTCTTCTTGTTATGTTATGGAGAAGAATTTATTGATATCTTTGGCTATAATATGGAAAGAAAACAGATTATTATGAAAAAATGAGTAAATTAGCCTAATAACATGTCCAGGAAGCATATTGAAATTGTCCTTTGGTATTACAATGGCTAATCTCGATTGATAAAGAAGGACATAGAAGATTATGGAAGCATATTTTGGAGTGGCTTTGAGAGGATTAGCTAAGCCTGCCTTCCTTCCATGTAGGTAGTACCATCCCATAGGAAGTAAAGGGGAAAAGGAGATATCCAGCTAAAATGCCAGAAATAGATGAATTTATAAAAATGTTCCCAATTTCCATCTATCTGGGTGATGAACAATGCAATAAAAAAATCCCTCACTGGCAAAGAGCAAATGCCAGAAAGTCATGGCGTAATGATAACAAGGAGACATGAATGCAAACTCTATGTGACCACCTCAGAAGCTCTGTCATGATTTGACAGCTAACAATTAGGAGACACCAAAGATCCTCATTTCATTTAATGGCACAAACTTAAAAAACATTCATAGGAATCCCATTCATTTTTAGGAGAACAAGATTGGCAATATCACCACTAGTTTGTTGAAAGGATCATTGAATGGTAAAATTTGAGAAGACACTTTTAGACTTAAATGGTGGAGTTAAGATCTAAAGAGCAGAGCAAGGAACCACAGAAAACTAATTCCAAGATGTAGTGAAGACCCGATGCTAATCAAAGAACTACCAATGTATTCTAGGTTTGATTTCAAAACTGTTTCTTATTTCCTCTACGTTGAATCTGAGTCTAAATTAGTTTCTCTATGTCTATCTTTCCACTGGACATTGGGTATATGGTAGGTATAAAACCTGTTCATCAGTCTTCACATAGAAAGAAGCTTCCTTTGAAGAACTAAACCCAAAGAAATCCACTTTCTCTGGAAATCTCCCAGGGGAGTTTTTTTTTATCTGACTTGACTTAGATAAGTTACATAACAATAAATAATTCATACAGATTACAATGAACTAATTTGATGTTACTTTCTCATATTTTTTCATTTGTTTTGTTTTTATTTTATTTTGGTGTCTATTTTGGGACTTGAACTCAAGGCCCTGATACTCTGCCTGAAGTTCTTTTGCTCAAGGCTAATAACACTCTACTACTTGGGGATTTTTTTGTGTGATTATTGGAGTTAAGAGACTTATAAACTCTTTTCCCAGACTGGATTTGAACTGCAGTCCTCAGATTTCAGCCTCCTGATCTAGGATTACGGGCATGAACCACTGGTGCCTGGTTCTAAAGAGTTTTAAGAATTAGAATACACATATGAACTAATAATACAAATTCTACCCAGTCTTACAAAACAAGTAGAATCCAAACAATCTCCTTAGAGTTAACAGTGATCTAAAGACACTGAAGTTTTGATACTAAAAGTCTTTGGTAATCTAACTTCTTTTGAAACACAAGGAAACAAACTTCTTGTTTTCAGTTTTGTTTATGGATGAATATAAACTCAATAAAATCACCAGCATATTGGTGTCTGTATATGATGGTTAAATTTAATTGCCAAATTGATTGGATTAAGGTAGGGCTGCAAGATTGGTGTGTATCTCTGTGTGTCTGTGAGGACATTCCCAGAGAGAATTGACAGACGGGGGGGGGGGGGGGGAGGCGGAGGGAGGCAGTTGGGAAAGAAGTTGGGAAAGAACCTCCCAGAATGTGGGCAACACCTCTAGGTAGGAGTGGAGATAGAATAGAAGCAGAAAAAGAAAGAATTGAATCAGCACATGCAGACTCTATTCTTCCTAAACAGATGCATCCTTTATGCCTTCTTTTGCCCACGAGTATCAC